CAGTGTTCTTTGCGGACATTGCACTGGGACACGAATTCAAGTGGATAAGCCTGCTGGGATGCGCTACGATTGCCGCGGGGTTCGCGGTGCTCGTATCGGCCGATTCTGCACCTGCACCCCCTACCGCTACCGCCTCTCATTGACGCAGGAATCGCAAATACTCTCACTCGGACAATCGTGAATGGAATGATTTGCGCGCTTAAAAGAGATTCTCATTCTTTTTTTTTTGTGGAGGGGGGGAGAGAGAGAATGTTGGGGGCGGATTTGTAAAAGAGTAGTCGGAAATAGCGAGAAGCGGCAATAATTTTCTTTGGCCAAAGAGCGAGGGATTGAGAGAGCTTTTTTTTTTGGTATCTTGCGCAGGCTCAACGTGCGATTCTCTTGCGAGACGGGTGAAGCAGGCCCCTCTTGGCATGCATTGTGTCTCTGGCCATGTGCAGACGCGTACGTAAAGGGTTGAGAGAGAAGGCGGGGGGCAAGCGTGTCGATGTGGCGCCCTCAACGTCATCAGTGTGGAAAGGGAGCACCAGGGACTAACAAGACGGGGGCTTGAACCTCGTTACGCATGCGTTCGCGAGGAAGGCGAGCGAGGTTCGATGCAGGCGCTGGCGCTGGCGCGGGCGCGGCCGCTTCAGCCCCAGCCCCGGCCCCGGCCCTGACCCCGGCCCTGACCCCTGTGCCAGTGCCTTCGCCTTCAAATCTTACGGGTCGAGCAGCTAGTTGATGCTCTGTAAGACTAGAAACGGGCTGAACCGCCGGGTTGCGCCGATTTCGCCAAGCTGTCATCTTTCTGTCCAGCGCCTTGAACATTGGTCTGCCCAACATCAGACCCGCCGCAGTTGCGAACAGTCCCACATAGGTCCAGGCGAGTCTGGCCTCCTTCTTGTTCTTCTTCCTCAGCTTCCGCACCTTTTCGGCCTCCTCATCAGCTGCATGTCGAGTTTCATCTGCCTGCGCTCCGGGTGCGTCTCGGCGCATTACGAAAAATGTCCCTGCACTATGATCATCGATTCGACGTTGCGCTGCGTCTTGTCGTGCGCTCCAACGTGCATCTGAACCATTCGATCCTTTCGCCATCACACTCCTTTTTGCCATCGTGACGTGGCCATCGTTTCCTTGCGGCGCATGTTCTGGGCGACGCGCACGTGTAATGGGCTCGCGCTGAAGATGGTTCAGTAGAGGTTGGGCTCCACGAGCTTGGGCCTCGACTCTGAACGCGTGCTGCTCGCGAAGCGATGGCGGTATGTTTGCAATGGCTTGGCGCGCACGAGGTAGTCCCCATCGGCGACGTCGCATCTGCCTTTCTACTTCGTGAGGATCAATTGGCATCACCGGCGTGATTGTCGGGCAACGGCGAGCTTTCCAAGCACAGATTCGAGACCATAGGGCCTTACCTCTTCCTCCGGTGAAGCCGAGATAAAGCGCGAGAGCTGCCGTTGCTGCACCCAGGGGATAAATGGCAGTACGACTTACATTGTTGATCGTGTCTACCATGTGGCTGTGTCGCTCAACCTCTCGATCGTGTTGCTGCTTCTCAGCCGCTACTTTTTCGGCGTCGGCTTTGGTTTTCGAGCCAGCTTCTTCGCCTTGCTGAAGCTGTTTCGTGGGTGCTACGTCGGATTGCTGCCGTCGATGAAGCGCAGGAGCAACGGCTGCGGCTCGGTCATGTGGGGAGGGCGGGGCAAGCGGACGCGGGGGCAACAGCGCTTCGGGTGCCAGAGGCACCATCCGCACATTGGCTTCGCGCGATCCTGGCACATGGTGCGGCCTGAAGTACGCATTAGGCGGGGGACGCTCGATGGGTGTGACGCTCGCCATCATGCGTCTTCGTTGACGCCGAAGCCGTTCCATAAGCCCAGGTGCGGCCTTTTGGAGTGCTGTTATGCCTTTGGTAAGACCCACCCCAAGCAGGGCACCGGTGCCCAGCCCACCCACTGTGCTCATGCTTATGAAAGCAGCAGGATGCTGCTCCGCTGAGTCACGAAGCCAATTTGGCTTTCCATGTGACTTGTCGTGAGCTGTGCCTGAGCCGTCAGGTGCAGTCTGATCGCCGCGACGCAGTAATTGAACATCCTTTTCGAGATCCTCGGCGGGCTTTCGAAGACCAAATGACGTCTTTTTGCCTGATGAAAGTTCTGCAGTAAAGCCGCTACTCGAATCAGTAGATCGACGCTGGAGAGGCAGGGCCGAATGTGGGTGGGGCGGTGCCGGCCTCTCAGGCAGCGTGACCGCCAGTCTCAGATCCCGATTGCGCTGTCCTGCTTGCGGGACAAACAGCGCACCGGTCGGCGGGTGCTCCACAGGCATCACATCGGCGCTCATTCGATTCTTCTGCCGTACAGCTGCTCGCGTCCAACGCTGAGCGCCTCGATAAAGCTTGGTGAGTCCGTAGCCGCCCAAAAGCGTGGCGGCGACGCCTCCGACCGAGGCTAGCGCGTAATCGAGATTATCGTCGCCAAAGTGCTCCTTCCTGGCGGGCTCCTCACCAGTGGGAGGTTGGAAACGTTTCTTCTGGTAGTGCCCATCCTCGCGGCGCACAAGCAGATTCTTGTAACGAATGCGTCCAGGGCTTTCTTCAATCTCGTCTAAATTTCGGCGAGGGAGGTGCACTCGTGGTCCCGCTAAAGGGTGAGGCACCATTTCTAGAACGTGCGCAATAGGTGTCACTTCGGCCGTGCCCTTCCAGCGTCTCAATTTGGCGCGCAGAGTCTTGTCACCTGCAGGAAGACGCTTGATTCCGTGATAAAGTCCAAAGGCGCCTCCTACAGCACCAGAGATAGCGGCAGTCAAGATAGCAGCTTTCTTAAAGGCATCCTTTTCGAAGACTTTTTGGTCTTGAGCCTGTTTTCGGTGTGCAGAATCTGTTAGCAAGTCCTTTAAGAGATTGTGTGCACCGACTTCATAAGTGCCGGATCCAGGCGCGTTGCCTGATGCGGGTGCCGAATCTCTCTTGCTGAGCTTGGATGTCGACGACCCATCGATCGAGCGGCGTATACTGTCGCCGCGTTCGTCAGCGGCGGGGCTAGAACTTGACTGGGACCGCACGGAAGACGTGGCGGACATTCTCGCTCTCATGGTCGTGCGAGCTTTAGCAGCGCGGCTCCAAGTTCTCCATCGAGCGTGCAACTTTTTGCCCAGCATGAGTGTCGCAATAGTTCCAGCTGTGCCAAAAACCAGACCGCCATATATCATAGCATGTTTGCGAGCTCGCTCCGCCACGGACTTATCCGCAGCTTGCTTTTCAGCGGCGGTCGGCCCAGGACGGTCTGCGCGCAGATCAGGGACCTGCCTGCGTTGAATTGTCGAGTCTAGCTGAAGGCTCCTCTTTGGCAATAAGACAGTCTGATTGCTCCGACTCCCGTCGCCTGACCTTGGATTGTTGAGCGCAGTCCTGAGCGAAACATCGCGGCGATGCGGATCGTTCAGGCGCGGGGAAGTATTTCCACCCTGTGGCAGGACGTGATGCACTTTCGCGGAAGCTGTCCTTGAGAACCTGTTCCTTAGCCATTTTGCGAGGAAGAAGCTGCCAGCTCCCACCGCGGCTACACCTATCGCGCCGCCGACACCAGCAAGGTCTTTCTCTAGCTCCTTTGACGAGAGGTGGTAATCGTTCGGTGGATGTGCGAAATCGTCACCATTCGCATCTCGAGTAGCAAGGAACTGGGCGTCGCGTGCTGCCGGCATGCTAGAGCGAGGAGCGCCTGTCGCAGCCAAAATATCAGGCTCGATTGAGCGCCGTGCGCTTCCAAAGGCTGCATCTCCCTGGCGCCGATGCAGGTGATCGGGCGCAATCCCGGACGAAGAGCTTTGAATCGTTTCGTGCGCCTGGCTCGAGGTGGAGGGTGCAGCGCCACCACGCAACTTGTAGTTCCGCACGAGCCGTGGTGGTGACTCTGGAGAAGCCAACTCGATTTCAGGCGCCGCGAAGCTATGCTGCTCATTGTAAGCTAACGGACGATGTCCATCATGCAGCCCGGCAAACGAGGCGCTGTGGGTCATAGATCGGCTCGGTGCTGCCAATTGGGCGCCGCTTTGCGACGTGCTCCTGCTGAGAGTGCGGTGCTCGGGAATGCTGAGCGCGTGCGATGGAATGTCGTTGGACTGGCCCGATCTTGGGAGAGCGTCTAAGCTTGTAGAGCGCTCGACAGGGCTGTGCGACAAAGCACCGGGCCCAGAGGGGGCATGATCAGGACCTGCGTTGATGGCGAGCCTCTCAGCGTTCCTAGGACCACCACCTAGGCAATGCGTGCAGCTGTCCTTCATTCTGCGCAAAGCCGCCACGATTTGATCATGTCGATTTCCTGCATAGTGTCCAAGCAGTCCTCCTGCCACCATTGCACCCATAGATGCAAAAGCCAATGACATGAGCTCTCTTTGTCTTTTCTCATCTTCCTTACTTTCGCCAGGATACGCGAGGCGCTTTTCCAACGAAGTAAAGGATCCATGTACCTCTTGGACGTCTGGAGAAAACTCGGTAATGGACCTGCTCGGGTACCCTCGCCTAGCTAGGGTCGTAGCCAAAGACGACAATGCGCGACGGCGAGGATGATCGAAGCGTAACGCTGCACCCTCAACGATGCTCGATGCCCTCGAGAGCTCTCGTTCCAACGGCGTGCTCGAGTCTGCGGATGCTGTGCTAGTCGGGCTGGAAGGGCTCTCAGGAGAGTGGTCTACCGTTCCAGACTGCCTTCCAGGCCAGCGATCTGAGCCTGTTCGAGACCCCGATGCTGTATGCTGCTCCCGATCAAGGAAGGAGTTCCGGCGGGGAGGCGCTTGCCCTAGACCGTGATGCAGTCCTCGAATGTATGTTGACGGCAGACCGCCGGGAAAGTCTCCGGTGACGTGAAAATCTCGAAGAGAGCCTGCATGCGCATAGTGAGCGGGTTCATGACCCCACGCCAGGTTGATTCCGTCCGACAGGCCCTCTCGATAACCAAGACCGCGTCTAGGAGGACTCATTCCTGCCGTTCTTTGGGATTCGCGAGTGGCGTCAGTCGTGTGTTGCATTGTGTGTTCTTGGGCACCACGTCGTTGCTCGCCTGGATGAGGGGCTCTATGAGACCCCGACATCGGACCTCTGGATGCAGATCTCGAAGAATGCGCTGCATTCAGCTCATCGAGGCGATTCGACTCTCCAGCCGCACGGCTCCGGGTGTTTTCTGGTGTCAATGCTTGATGACCAGCGTCGCGAAGAGTCGATGGCGGATTCGAGGTAGGCCTTCGTGTCCTACTCGAAGAGCCTGAATTACCTTGTCGTGCGACTAAGCGTCCAGGAGAGGTATCCTCAAGATGCCCCGGCGACCTATTTGGCGAACTCGAGATTGCCCCTGGACTGCGGATATTTTCAGCGCCAGCTCCTGCCCCGGAATCGCGTTCGAGATGCTCCATACTTTCTCGGCGACGGTCGGAGAATGAAGTGATGTGGCCCGACGCGATCGATGGACTTGTGACCTGCTGACGGTTGCTATTGATTGCCTTTCGCGCGAAATGATATCCGGTCGCCCCACCAGCCACACCAACACCTAAACCCAGTCCAAACTCTTCGCCGGAAGATAAGTCTCGTGCTGCCACAGGCTGCTTCAGCGCCGATCGCCTCACTAAATTAGATGCAGTCAGAGCCATGAGATCTCGACGTCGTGGTCCGTCGAAATGTGCTGGCATGGGTGGAATGGAAACATTTGAGTCGGATCTCGATGGAGCCGAACTCAAGGGACGTAAGTCTGCACCAGAGCCGTGTCCACCGAGTGGGGCAAGTGCAGATTCTTGAGGCGCACCGGGTCGGGGAGGACGCGATACTGGTTGTGCTTCCCTGAGATTGGTCAACTCGACGCTACCGGGTCTGGGGTTAGACGACCGGCGAGACTCCCTTTGGGGCCTCCCAGATATCAACGTGCCACGTTCAATTCGACGATGGCGCTCGATGGCACGCACTCCGGCCGGAGTGACCTCGCCAGCGTAGGTGTTCTCGAAATTGTAAAGTTGCCGAGAGACGCTCGGTTGTCGACGAGGTTCAGGCACGTGTGGCATGAGAGGCGATTGTCCCCTCGAGGCAGAAGTCTCTATGCGCACAGGGGTCGCCCGACGAGCAGTCTTGGCCAGTCTTGCAAGGCCAGCTCTGATACCCAGAGCTCCGGCAGCCCCAGCACCAAGCCCAAGTACGAACCCAATACCTGCTTTGGCGTTGCCAGAGATGGAATCCCAACCTCCTTTCTTATGAGAATTTTCAGCAGTTGTAGACTGACGAACCTCTAGCTGGTCCATCTTTGTCTGGGGCTCTCGGCGCTGCAGTCGTCGATTTCCCGGATCCGGCGAAGGCCCGCCATCACTTTGAGCGCCATCGTGAATAACGAGATTTCTTCGCTCGATGGAGGGCATGGCGGCACTGATTCGTTCTTGCAAGCTATTGTGCTCGTCGTAGGCCTCGACTAGCGGTGCACGCGGGTAGCTTCAGAAAGAGATGGACCAAAAGAGTCGCAAGCGTCAGAAAGAGATTTTTGCATTTTAAAGTACACCGTCCTCGTGCTTACAAGGCTAAGTTGCGACGATCGAGCTTCGAGCTATCTGGATTTGCAGTCAACCTTCGGACGCATTCCCTTCCTTCTGGGGACGAACAATCGACTGATGACCTTTTGAAGATGGCTGGTGCATAAGGGGCAGGAAGCGGCTTGAAGTCTGTGCCACGCCCTTCTGCGCCTGAAAGAGTAGCACCTCTGGGTCTGCTTTTGTTCTTGAATGGTGCAGAAAAGAATCGCCCAATGCCCTTCATGCCGCCCGATCGCCACTTTACTGCTAACGCAGCGAGTCCGGCAGCACCTCCCATTCCTCCGCTGAGCATGAACGATTAGAAGGTTGCGTAAGCGATTGGGGTATGTCCGGACATGCTTCGCGTGAGCCAACTCACAGAAGACCTGCTGTGGCTCCCCAACTCCAGTCCTTGCCCTTGTCGCTGGAAGGGGGAGCGCGGCCGCGCGAGAAGCCTCCTCCACCGACCGCAGTAGCGCGTCCACCACCTCGAAACCCCCCGCCACCGCCACCGCCTCGCCCACCGCCACCACCACCACCACCTCCGCCTTTGCGACGCTCGAGGATGGCAGTGGTCTCATTGGCTGAATCTTCAGCACGAGAAATTTTGGATGCTTCGTGGGCCGAAGGAACAGGCGCTTCAGATCGCTTAAAGTGATGAGGGGCCCGAGAAGCTCGTTCAGGATCGAAACGATGCCTCATCTCTTCGGAATTCCTGATCCAATTTGGAGAATTGTTACCAGACCTACTCCTTCCCGCGCCTCCAAATTCCATGAGGACTTTCCGTAATTTTCTGCCACCAAGACATACCCCGCCAATCAGCAGGGCGAGGCCTCCGAGGCCTCCACTGCAGGTGCGTGCGCACGTAGGGAAAGCGCAGAGGAGATCAGAGGGATTGCAAGAACGATAGAGTCTTTGAAGGCGGGCATTGACTCACAGAATACCGCCCACGGCTGCGCCACTGATGCCCTTCGATTTTTTGCCGGGTGAGCCTGCACCCCTAGAGCCGCCGCGCGCCGCGTTGCCACCTGCAAAGGCCCCACCACCAGGCACTGCTGTGATCGGACCCCCTCTTCCCGAGGCCGCTCCACCTTCGCTGTGGCCCCCACCTCCACCTCCACCACCGCGACCACCTCCTTTGCGTCTTTCTAGAACCGTCGACCCCTCTTCCGTGCTTGCCGGGGCAGCGCTTTCATAGTCTCGCCTAGCAATCTTTGCGTAGCGCATTGAGTTCGAAAACGGCCTGGAGAACATCCCAAGGAGGCTGTGGCGGTACCCAAACGCTCCGCCTAGCACGCCAGCGCCCGCTCCTACGCCAAGGGAGCTGTACCAAATCCAAGTCCAAATTGCCCGTCAGCAGCGGATTCAGAATCCTCGAGGCGATGCCGAGCAGCACTTACATGAGAGCAGCATTGCGTGCCGTCTTGTGGCGCGAAGCGCTGCTAGGAGCTGGTGCAGCGTTGTTGCCGTTGGCGGGATTATTGTAGGCCGCGTCGCCATCATCGGGTTGTTTGTTTCTGAAATGCATCGGTGAACGTTTGCGCAATGTTGTTTCGTCCCAAGCATCGCTCAAAGCGTTCTTGGCGCGCTTGGAAATCTTGGCGTATCGAAAGGGATTGGTGAACAAATGTGAAGCGAGCGACGAGAGACTGCGGCGGAAGCCGATTGCTCCTGTCAACACACTTACACCAGCCGCTGCTCCAAGCGAGCTAAACAAGTGCAAGATGGCATCAGCGCTGAGGCAGAAAAAGTCTGCGTGAACGCGCGTCCGCACTCACACCAAAGCAGCGTTTCGGACCTTATGTCGATGTGAAGAGCTGTTTGGTGGATCTGCTCCCGCAGCAGCTTGATCTTTCTTCTTCTTCTTCTTCGGTGGCTTGAACTTGATCCTCCCCTTGCGAGCTTCCAAAAATTGTACGTCGAAGCTGCCATCAAGTGCATCCCGTTTGCGCAGCTCCTCAATTGCGGCAATCTGTCGGTCCTGATCGCGCGAGACTGAAGCGATGAACGTCGTCTCTCCTGAAGTGTCCCTAGCATCGAGATCACGGGATTTGACCATCTCTGGCATTGATGACTCTTCTTGACGTCGCACGGCAGTCAAAGTTTTGGCGCGATGGCTGAGTTGGTCAGCTAGCTTCTTGAGGCCATAGACAAAGCCGGCTAGGCCGACGCTTGCCGTTGCTCCCCCGGCTCCCCTGGTCGGCGAAGCGCTGCCGGAAGTGAGAACAGCGAAAACAGGTGCGATAATGTGCGAGCAGACTTACAAGAGCCACTTTTGTTTGGTGGTCAGTTTGCCTTTCTTCTTCTTCTTTTTGTTGCCTGGCGTCGGCACGCGTGTCCTCGCGTCGAGAGACTCATCGTGTTCAGTTCTTCGACTGACCACCGTGCCCGTGTCTGGAAATAGCTCATCCTCGACTCCTCGTTTGGCGCGGACATGGGTGAATTCGTGTATACCGGCCTTCTTCAAGGCCGACTCTTCCTGCTTCGTCTGGACTCTGTTGATGATTGCTTCCGTAGCAAGCATCGCACCCAGAGTTGCTCTGACCGCAAGGACGGTGGTCAGTGACGGTGACCTTTAGGTGACAGTAATCTTCAAGTGGACGGTGACCTTTAGCGTGCCACCCAATTTGGACTCACAAAGCTGGCAGCACCACCTTTTGCAACGTCGAAGTGATCATATCCGAGAGACCATTTTGTTTCTTTTGACCCTTCTTGTCGGTCTGATTGACCGTGTGCAGAAGTTGTTGGGATGCGAGATCTCTGCGAGTCAAGACAGCATGCATCTGTTGAGTGTCACGAGGCAACACGCGAGAGATGGGCGTAAAAGTGGGCGTCGTCTCTATCTTTTGCTTGAACAGAGGTCCAACCCGTGGACGCTTTGTGAATTTGTTCAGAGCGAAACTCAGGCCGGGAACCTTTTTGCCGAGCACGTGAGCCGTAGCTGCGCCCAGCAGACCAGCGCCAGCGAGAGAGCTGCAGCGTTTGAGCAAAGAGCAACCAAAGGTGAGCGAAAGCTGTGGCAGCATGCTCCTCCATTTGCACTTACCCTGCAGCTACTCCGGCCATTTGACCCGCATTCAGGCCATCTTTCTTCTTGCGTGGCGGTGCGACTACTTGAACGGCGTGACGCTTTGGCCATGGTTTGCTGTGTAGCGTGACCGGATCATTGCTGCGATACACGTATCGCTTGACAAGCTCCGCCTCAACAGAGTGCGACCGCTGCTGCTCGTATCGAGTCGTGCTCGCATTTCCGGATGGCCTTTGCAAACTCGACGATGAAGGATTTTGCTGCTGCGCCTCATCCTCAGGCTCCTCGGACGCAGTTTGTGAAGCACTACTGTAAGGAGGCGGTAGGAAGTGAGCTGCATGCTTTCAGAACGTTGCTGAATTCTTTGGCTGATCCACTAACTTTTCTCTTTTGGTGATCCCGTCGCCCAGCTCGATGTAAGGCACTGGCGCAGCCGAGGCGTGCACAAGCAGCAGCAGGAGCGAGATCAGCACAGCGGGCCTCATCCTCCCGCTCGATGCCCGTCCGCGGAAAAGCGAGAGAGACTTCTAGTGAAGAATGACGAAGTGAGTACAGAACGTAAACAGACCAGCTGTGAAACTTCGAAAAATAGACTTCAGCGAGCGAAGACCAGCTTCGTTCGGAGGGCGGCAAAGAATGCTGATCGTGAACGACGCAGTGACAAGAAGGAGCGTCATGGAGTAGCAGGAGGCGGCGCACCTCTTTTGTGCAAGATGGGCTCGCCTTATGAAGCGCTCACCTTACATTGGCCACCAACAGCTCGCGTGGGCCTCGCGCTGACTGACTGCCGAAATTTGACCGCACTAAGCGCAGACACTGAGATGGCGTGAGCTTGCCGCCACTCGAATGATGCACCAGGGCCGCAAGGCGTAAGGGCAAGCACCCAGATTGACAATGAGTGGCAATGAGGCAGGGAGGGTCACAGGATTCACGATCGAGCCTGGGCAGCTAGCCTTTGAGTAAGCTTTTTGTCCCTCCTCCTCATTGCTCATTGGACCGATGGGCTCTGCGAACCGAGTGGATGGTCCCTTCTCTTCAAGCGGCTGGCCGACCAATTGATCACTGTCTCCTCGCCACCCCGTTCGCTGCATACACAACTTGTTTTGGTTGGGTGACAGTGCCGCATGGCGGGTAATTGCCTGGTTTTGCCAGGGGCAAATCACGGGATAGCCCAGGATCTGCGCATACGCCTGCGGGCAAGCGCGTTGCGGGCTCTGCGTTCAACGACGGCATCCCAACTGATCTTGGCGTTCGCCGCCACCACACCAACTTTGCTTGGGCCGTTTGAAGGCGCTTGCCAAGCAGTCAATGGCCAGCAGTCAGGGCTGGCCTACTTGCGTTGCAGCGCCATTGCACAACCGCAGCTTTTGCGCTTCATGGATGACCTCAAGAGACTTGCGCTCATCTCCTCCCATTTGCCGCCCATGCGTTGGCCGTCTCGCAAGAAACGGCGACTGACTTGAAAAGTGCGGTCGAGATGAGCGAGCGCAGGACACTTGTTGCTCTCGCACCTGTTCCCCGGATGGATGTGACAAGAAGCAGGACTTGCTTTGCCGCATGCCTGCTTCAATCGGAAAGCCGACTTGGCCATTGCTGCACTGCAGTCCTCTTCCCCAGATCGAAAAGACAAACCGAAAGGAGCGAGACATGTTTCATCCAGCGTCTTGCAGGTGTCCTTGGCTCGTCCCAGGAGCTTGGTCTTCTTGAGGCTCATCTCCAGCACACGCTTGACGGATGAGCTTTGTTTAAGAACATCTTTGATGCGTTGTATGCGCGCCGCATCTCCTTCCTTCTCGATGGCGTGCGCCGCAATCAATTACTGGAATTCGCCAACGAAACGGCCGTCTTCACTCACACTGATGCTCTTGCTCCGTCACGCCGCCTTGGCACGTGGTGTGTGGATGCAGATGCTGAGAAGTAAAAAAGTTGAATTGCAAATCACGAGTTGGCCAAGAGCGAGAGACAGCTTGGCGACTGTAGCTGCATGGAAAAGGCTCTCTCGATAATACATGCCTCGTTTATCTGCAGCGGAATATTCTCGACGACCCATGCCTCATGCAGTCAGTCCAAAGCACGAGAATCCCAGAACGTCGATCGCGCGCACGGACGCTTCGCGCCAGCATCGCGCCAAGTTGGTCGGCTCGCGGGACGTACTGCTACTGCTGTACGCTGGACGGGGCACAGGCGTGCGGTGCGGCACGATGCTGCTGCTCAAGCTCGCGCGGAGTTTGGGGGGGGGCGAGAGAGATCCCAGCATAATGCCGTGCGCGTATGGGAGGAGTGTGGGTGTACAGCATGTATAGCAGCAGCATGTATGCAACATCGATCATCGATGAGAACGTTGCTATACATCCACATTCACTTTCACTCACGACTCTGACTCGTGACTCTTGACTCTAATTGTGGGCGTGTACGTGTATCACGCAGCTAGACGACGGCCTTGCCTTCTCCAACCAAGCTCATCATCCAGCTGGTGCCAGACATTCACCAAGCCGTCCACCAGTATTCCACCTCAAAGTGGCGCAGCTCACTCCTTCACGCCCTCCCCCCCCCCGCTTCGGACCAATTTCACGTCTTGTGTCAAGCAGCTAGAGCATAGATCAAGAAGATGGCACCAAACTCTCGCATCTTGATCTGTCGACATTCTCAAGCCGAGCACAATGTGAGTGAGGGCTTGGACCGCTTGCGATGTGCTAGGCTGTGGTGGTGGTGGTGGCGCTGCTCAATAGCAACTGCATGCTGACTTTGGCTTTCCATGCGACACGATCATCGTCGTCACAGGTTGACCTGGACTACAGCATTCCTGATGCACCCTTGACCAGTCTGGGAAAGAAGCAGTCCGCCACGCTTCCTTCCTTCACAGCTGCAGAGCAAGGCCAGGTAGACGTCGTCCTCTCCAGCGGGCTCAAGAGGACTCTGCAGAGCACCAAGCTAGGCTGGGGTCCCGCCATCGAGCGTCTAGGTGGTTTGAAGAAGGTCATCGTTCTGCCCCAATTGCAAGGTGAGCTCAGAGCCACTTCGCGTGCAGACGCTGGCTGCATCGACCACGACTCAGTGTCGGGGCATCCAGCTGCCGGACTTGTGCAGGCTGATTCGACAGCTGACGATCTCACGGAATGGCATCTGGCAGAATGCAACGACTTTCCCTGCGACACTGGATCTCCGCGCGAGGCGCTCGAGCGCGACCCAGAGTTCAGTGGCTTTGACCTCTCCAACCTGACGCCCGACTGGACCAGCAAACAAGGCTTCTGGGGTGAGCGCTTGCATTGCGGAGGCAGCAGCATCGGATAGCACTGATGCTGATAGCGTCGGCCTCATAGCACCCGACCCGCAATCCATCGCGTTGCGAGCTCAGTGGGTCAGACAATTCATCCGATCGCGTCCGGAAAAGACGATTCTGCTTGTAGGACACGGAGACATCATCAGACAGATCACAGCCACTGCTTCTGGAGGACCTAGCACCTACGTGAGTGACGAATCACCTGTACGCCTTCTGAGCGGGGGTTCAATTGTGCTGAGTCTTCCTCCCCCTCCATTTGATCGCTGCAGCAATGGAAGAACGCAGAAGTACGAGCTTATACTTTTGACCCAGCCACAGCGGGCGCGCAAGAATGCTTCCTTCGACCCGAGGGAGAGGTAGCGGTCGCGGGCGGCTACGCGCCAACGAGCACGGAAGCAGACATTGTACAGGGACCAGGCGCCGCCGCCGCTGCTGGAGGTCCAAGGTGAGCGCATACACGCAGCTGTGCTCGCTGTACTCGTTGCTGACGCACCTCGTCCGCAAAGCCTTCCAAGCTTGGGAGGTGGGGACGATTTCAGCTTTGGGGACGTGGTGAACGACGCAGGAACACGAGCTCTGGCGGAGATGGAGGAGCGCGTCAAGACGAAGTGAGTGCGATGCAAAGCTTTCATGTCGGGTGCACATTCAGAGATTGACGCGGTCCGCATCCTACGTCCGCTCCAGAGCTAGCGCGGTGCAATCGCAGACGAATGAGTTGCAGGAGCTCGAGGCTAGACTGGCAGCTGCGGAGCGCAAGGCGGCGGAGGTGAGCAGACACCAGCGAACTTCCGGACGGAGGAGTACCCGTACTGATCACGCCGTTCACGTTGTCGCAGCTCGAGGCTCGAGGTGTGCGTCACTAGACAAAAATGGCGATGGCGGACATCCGCGATTGGGCGGTCTTCTGTCGACGAGCCGTCTTCTTTTGCATTCAGGCTGGCCTTTTAGAGCGGCTTTCCAAGATCTTTTTGACTAATCGAAACACTTGACAATGCCAGGTCTAGGTGTGAGAGAATCCTTCAGATGGGACCTCGCTCTCGTTAGCTTGGACGACGATCAGTGAGCTGGGTGTGCGAGAAAGGGACAGGTGGTGAAGCAGCAGATTCGCGTCCGCCGCAATGAGACTCACTGACCGCCACCTCTAGTGCTTGTGGCGCAGCCTGGTCGACTGCGCCCTGAAGGGCGGGGCCTATCAGTTTTGATGCTCAAAGTCCCCCAAGCCCGTCCTGCCTACCGCTTTCCGCGACGCCGAGAGCATCTGACCCATTCCTGCTGACTGGTCACACCACCCAGCTCATCTTACTTCTCGCACTGCGCAAGACAAGACTACTCTTGACGAGTCCGGGGGTTGCCACGCGTGCGAAGCTAAGCCGGTGTGTCGTGATTCTGCCCATGCGCATCTCAGATCCATGGCATGGCGCCCATGCCTATCTTCATGTGCGGATCGCGCGCGAGCTGCGTGGCAGTCACTCCACTGGTTCGCCACCCTCACGCCTGCGATGGCGCTTCACGTAGCCCGTGCACGCACGGTGGCGATTTGGAAGGACGCGCGCGTCTCGGTCGGCCATCCATCAGGCTCGCTTCTGGACATTGTGATTTCAATTGCCACGCCGCCGCCAGGCATTATAGCCAGCCAGCCAGCCGCCCCGCAGAAGGCTTGCTGCACGTTGACAAACGGTGTGGGAGCACCCCAAGCAATCGTCCAAAGTACCGTACGGCCTTGCGGGAATGCGACAGGAGCGGGGACGCATGATGGATCACTTCATGATTCACATTGTCGAGTGGCGAGGGCGCTTGTATTTGTAGTCGCAGTGCTTCGATCCAGTTGACTGGAGCCGGTGGCGTGTGTTTGGCGAGCGCATTCCATATATAACATCTCCCCCCCCC